GTCACATCACTGTTAAACAACGACCTATTGTCACAGTACAGGTACACCCCGACCTATTGTCACAGTACTGGTATACTCTGACCTATTGTCACAGTACTGGTATACTCCGACCTATTGTCACAGTACTGGTATACTCCGACCTATTGTCACAGTACAGGTACACCCCGACCTATTGTCACAGTACTGGTATTTTCCGACCTATTGTCACAGTACTGTTACACCCCGACCTATTGTCACAGCACTGTTACACTCCGACCTATTGTCACATCACTGTTACATCCCGACCGATTGCCAAAGCACTGTTACACCCCGACCTATTGTCACATCACTGTTACACCCAGGCCTATTGTCACAGTACAGGTACACCCCGACCTATTGTCACGGTAGTGGTATACTCCGACATATTGGCACAGCACTGGTATACTCCGACATATTGTCACAGTACTGGTATACTCCGACCTATTGTCACAGTACAGGTACACCCCGACCTATTGTCACAGTACAGGTACACCCGACCTATTGTCTCAGTACTGGTATACTCCGACCTATTGTCACAGCACTGTTACACCCCGACCTATTGTCACAGTACAGGTACACCCCGACCTATTGTCACATCACTGTTACACCCCGACCTATTGTCACAGTACTCGTATACTCCGACCTATTGTCACAGTACTGGTACACCCCGACCTATTGTCACAGTACAGGTACACCCCGACCTATTGTCACAGTACAGATACACCCCGACCTATTGTCACAGTACTGGTATACTCCAACCTATTGCCTCAGTACTGGTATACTCCGACCTATTGTCACAGTACTGGTATACTCCGACCTATTGTCACAGTACAGGTACACCCCGACCTATTGTCACAGTACAGATACACCCCGACCCATTGTCACAGTACTGGTATACTCCGACCTATTGTCACAGTACTGGTACACCCCGACCTATTGTCACAGTATAGATACACCCCGACCCATTGTCACAGTACTGGTATACTCCGAAATATTGTCACAGTACTGTTACATCCCGACCTATTGTCACAGTACAGGTACACCCCGACCTATTGTCAAGGTAGTGGTATACTCCGACATATTGGCACAGCACTGGTATACTCCGACATATTGTCACAGTACTGGTATACTCCGACCTATTGTCACAGTACAGGTACACCCCGACCTATTGTCACAGTACAGGTACACCCGACCTATTGTCTCAGTACTGGTATACTCCGACCTATTGTCACAGCACTGTTACACCCCGACCTATTGTCACAGTACAGGTACACCCCGACCTATTGTCACATCACTGTTACACCCCGACCTATTGTCACAGTACTCGTATACTCCGACCTATTGTCACAGTACTGGTACACCCCGACCTATTGTCACAGTACAGGTACACCCCGACCTATTGTCACAGTACAGATACACCCCGACCTATTGTCACAGTACTGGTATACTCCGACCTATTGCCTCAGTACTGGTATACTCCGACCTATTGTCACAGTACTGGTATACTCCGACCTATTGTAACAGTACAGGTACACCCCGACCTATTGTCACAGTACAGATACACCCCGACCCATTGTCACAGTACTGGTATACTCCGACCTATTGTCACAGTACTGGTACACCCCGACCTATTGTCACAGTACAGATACACCCCGACCCATTGTCACAGTACTGGTATACTCCGAAATATTGTCACAGTACTGTTACATCCCGACCTATTGTCACAGTACTCGTATACTCCGACCTATTGTCACAGTACTGGTACACCCCGACCTATTGTCACAGTACAGGTACACCCCGACCTATTGTCACAGTACAGATACACCCCGACCTATTGTCACAGTACTGGTATACTCCGACCTATTGCCTCAGTACTGGTATACTCCGACCTATTGTCACAGTACTGGTATACTCCGACCTATTGTCACAGTACAGGTACACCCCGACCTATTGTCACAGTACTGGTACACCCCGACCTATTGTCACAGTACAGATATACCCCGACCAATTGTCACAGTACTGGTATACTCCGAAATATTGTCACAGTACTGTTACATCCCGACCTATTGTCACAGTACATGTACACCCCGACCTATTGTCACAGTACAGGTACACCCCGCCCCTTTATCACAGTACAGTTACAACCCGACCTATTGTCACAGTACTGGTATACTCCGACCTATTGTCACAGCATTGTTACACCCCGACCATTGTCACATCACTGTTACACCCCGACCAATTGTCACAGCACTGTTACACTCCGACCTATTGTCACATCACTGTTACACCCCGACCTATTGTCACAGTACAGGTACACCCCGACCTATTGTCACAGTACTGGTATACTCGACCTATTGTCACAGCACTGTTACACCCCGACCTATTGTCACATCACTGTTACACCCCGACCTATTGTCACAGCACTGTTACACCCCGACCTATTGTCACATCACTGTTACACCCATGCCTATTGTCACAGTACAGGTACACCCCGACCTATTGTCACAGCACAGGTATACTCCGACCTATTGTCACAGTACAGGTACACCCCGACCTATTGTCACAGTACAGGTACACCCCGTCCTATTGTCACAGTACAGGTACACCCCGACCTATTGTCACATCACTGTTACACCCCGACCTATTGTCACATCACTGTTACACTCCGACCTATTGTCACATCGCTGTTACACCCCGACCTATTGTCACAGTACAGGTACACCCCGACCTATTGTCACAGTACTGGTATACTCTGACCTATTGTCACAGTACTGGTATACTCCGACCTATTGTCACAGTACTGGTATAATCCGACATATTGGCACAGCACTGGTATACTCCGACATATTGTCACAGTACTGGTATACTCCGACCTATTGTCACAGTACAGGTACACCCCGACATATTGTCACAGTACAGGTACACCCGACCTATTGTCACAGTACTGGTATACTCCGACCTATTGTCACAGCACTGTTACACCCCGACCTAATGTCACAGTACAGGTACACCCCGACCTATTGTCACATCACTGTTACACCCCGACCTATTGTCACAGTACTCGTATACTCCGACCTATTGTCACAGTACTGGTACACCCCGACCTATTGTCACAGTACAGATACACCCCGACCTATTGTCACAGTACTGGTATACTCCGACATATTGCCTCAGTACTGGTATACTCTGACCTATTGTCACAGTACTGGTATACTCCGACCTATTGTCACAGTACTGGTATACTCCGACATATTGGCACAGCACTGGTATACTCCGACATATTGTCACAGTACTGGTATACTCCGACCTATTGTCACAGTACAGGTACACCCCGACCCATTGTCACAGTACAGGTACACCCGACCTATTGTCACAGTACTGGTATACTCCGACCTATTGTCACATCACTGTTACACCCCGACCTATTGTCACAGTACAGGTACACTCCGACCTATTGTCACATCACTGTTACACCCCGACCTATTGTCACAGTACTTGTATACTCCGACCTATTGTCACAGAACTGGTACACCCCGACCTATTGTCTCAGTACAGGTACACCCCGACCTATTGTCACAGTACAGATACACCCCGACCTATTGTCACAGTACTGGTATACTCCGACCTATTGCCTCAGTACTGGTATACTCCGACTTATTGTCACAGTACTGGTATACCCCGACCTATTGTCACAGTACAGGTACACCCCGACCTGTTGTCACAGTACAGATACACCCCGACCTATTGTCACAGTACTGGTATAATCCGACCTATTGTCACAGTACAGATACACCCCGACCTATTGTCACAGTACTGGTATACTCCGACCTATTGTCACAATACTGGTATACTCCGACCTATTGTCACAGTACTGGTATACTCCGACCTATTGTCACAGTACTTGTACACTCCGCCCCTTTATCACAGTACAGATACAACACCCCGACCTATTGTCACAGCACTGTTACACTCCGACCTATTGTCACATCACTGTTTGGCCCCGACCTATTGTCACAGTACTGGTACACCCCGACCTATTGTCACAGCACTGTTACACTTCTACCTATTGTCACATCACTGTTACACCCCGACCTATTGCCTGTTACACAACAGACTTACGACGGTTGTAGTGCTACGATCGCTTTGTGGAAGGGGGCCCTGGGCCCTCTTTCACAAAGCGGTCTTAGCGCTAAGAGCAGCGTAAGTCTATGTTTAAGTATGGGACTTACGATAATCTTAGCGCTAAGATCGCTTTGTGCAAGTGGGCCCAGGTCCAGCTGACAGCTAACGCCTGAACAGGAATCACATCTTCTGTTTGTTTGTTTGTTTGTTTGTTTGTTTGTTTGTTTGTTTCTTTAACGCCGCATATTCCAGCTATATGACGACGGTCTGTAACGAATCGAGTCTTAACCAGACAACCCAGAGCTTGGTTGGCATCGATCTACGCAACATGCAAGCAAGACATCAAGCCTGACCACCCGATCCCGTTAGTCGCCTCTTACGGCAAGCAGGGGTTGACTCACAACTGTCGGTCGAAAGACAAAAGAGTATTTTTGTCCCATGTTCATGTTGGCTTCCTTCAATAGACACAGAGAGTGACACAGAGAGTGACACAGAGAGTGACACAGAGAGTGACACAGAGAGTGACACAGAGAGTGACACAGAGAGTGACACAGAGAGTGACACAGAGAGTGACACAGAGAGGGACACAGAGAGTGACACAGAGAGTGACACAGAGAGGGACACAGAGAGTGACACAGAGAGGGACACAGAGAGTGACACAGAGAGGGACACAGAGAGTGACACAGAGAGTGACACAGAGAGGGACACAGAGAGGGACACAGAGAGTGACACAGAGAGTGACACAGAGAGGGACACAGAGAGTGACACAGAGAGTGACACAGAGAGTGACACAGAGAGTGACACAGAGAGGGACACAGAGAGGGACACAGAGAGGGACACAGAGAGGGACACAGAGAGTGACACAGAGAGGGACACAGAGAGTGACACAGAGAGTGACACAGAGAGGGACATGTGTTTTCCTGTACGGCCATGCGGAACTTACTTCCTCGTCGCTCTGTCCCACAGCTTTTCTCTGTATAGGCTGGTGTGTACACTATCAGTTTCAATGTAGTGTCTATATGTCTTTACACGAGGGAGTAGGTGAGATTACATTATCAGCTGTTAGTGAGGACAGTATGTAGCCATGGAGACTATTCCCTGATTCCATCCAGGACGATGATTGACACAACACGGACTGATATTCTGCTCGGTAATTAACAATGGACACATTCCAAGTTTTCTCCGTGGCTGTGATTTTACTTCAGATATATCAGTGTGTGGTTTCACAAGGTAGGTACCATGCTGCTTAGTTAGAACTACATGTGCTGAAAGAGGGAGACTTAACATCTCTATGTGTGCCTGCCAGCCCAACTGTTGTAGTGGAGGTGAATCAGGAAGTTCTCAACAACGTCCATTGTTTGCTCCGACTTTGTGCACGGGAGCTTCGAGAACCTCTTCACTATCACAGTCATGTAGATATGTTCAGGTCGGAATGAGACCAGCTATAAATAGAGAATCTCACCTGAGTGTCTTATGACATGTATCAAATATATCAACTCCAAACTGTATGAACGTCGGAGATTCATCTCATCTCGTCCCTAGACTAGTCCAGTGTATCATACCATCCCACACTAGTCCAGTTTATCATATCATCCCTACACTAGTCCAGTGTATCATATCATCCCTACACTTGTCCTGTATATCATATCCTCCCTACACTAGTCCAGTGTATCATATCGTGCCTACACTAGTCCAGTGTATCATATCATCCCTACACTAGTCCAGTGTATCATATCATTCCTACACTAGTCCAGTGTATCATATCCTCCCTACACTAGTCCAGTGTATCATATCATCCCTACACTAGTCCAGTGTATCATATCATCCCTACACTAGTCCAGTGTATCATATCATCCCTACACTAGTCCAGTGTATCATATCATCCCTACACTAGTCCAGTGTATCATATCATCCCTACACTTGTCCTGTATATCATATCCTCCCTACACTAGTCCAGTGTATCATATCATCCCTACACTAGTCCAGTGTATCATATCGTCCCTACACTAGTCCAGTGTATCATATCATCCCTACACTAGTCCAGTGTATCATATCATCCCTACACTTGTCCTGTATATCATATCATCCCTACACTAGTCCAGTGTATCATATCATCCCTACACTAGTCCAGTGTATCATATCATCCCTACACTAGTCCAGTGTATCATATCATCCCTACACTAGTCCAGTGTATCATATCATCCCTACACTTGTCCTGTATATCATATCCTCCCTACACTAGTCCAGTGTATCATATCATCCCTACACTAGTCCAGTGTATCATATCATCCCTACACTAGTCCAGTGTATCATATCATCCCTACACTAGTCCAGTGTATCATATCATCCCTACACTAGTCCAGTGTATCATATCCTCCCTACACTAGTCCAGTGTATCATATCCTCCCTACACTAGTCCAGTGTATCATATCATCCCTACACTAGTCCAGTGTATCATATCGTCCCTACACTAGTCCAGTGTATCATATCATCCCTACACTAGTCCAGTGTATCATATCATCCCTACACTAGTCCAGTGTATCATATCATCCCTACACTAGTCCAGTGTATCATATCATCCCTACACTAGTCCAGTGTATCATATCATCCCTACACTAGTCCAGTGTATCATATCATCCCTACACTTGTCCTGTATATCATATCCTCCCTACACTAGTCCAGTGTATCATATCATCCCTACACTAGTCCAGTGTATCATATCATCCCTACACTAGTCCAGTGTATCATATCATCCCTACACTAGTCCAGTGTATCATATCATCCCTACACTAGTCCAGTGTATCATATCATCCCTACACTAGTCCAGTGTATCATACCATCCCTACACTAGTCCAGTGTATCATATCCTCCCTACACTAGTCCAGTGTATCATATCCTCCCTACACTAGTCCAGTGTATCATATCATCCCTACACTAGTCCAGTGTATCATATCATTCCTACACTAGTCCAGTGTATCATATCATTCCTACACTAGTCCAGTGTATCATATCATCCCTACACCAGTCCAGTGTATCATATCCTCCCTACACTAGTCCAGTGTATCATATCATCCCTACACTAGTCCAGTGTATCATATCATCCCTACACTTGTCCTGTATATCATATCCTCCCTACACTAGTCCTGTATATCATATCATCCCTACACTAGTCCAGTGTATCATATCATTCCTACACTAGTCCTGTATATTATATCATCCCTACACTAGTCCAGTGTATCATATCCTCCCTACACTAGTCCAGTGTATCATATCATCCCTACACTAGTCCAGTGTATCATATCATCCCTACACTTGTCCTGTATATCATATCCTCCCTACACTAGTCCAGTGTATCATATCATCCCTACACTAGTCCAGTGTATCATATCATCCCTACACTAGTCCAGTGTATCATATCATCCCTACACTAGTCCAGTGTATCATATCCTCCCTACACTTGTCCTGTATATCATATCCTCCCTACACTAGTCCAGTGTATCATATCATCCCTACACTAGTCCAGTGTATCATATCATCCCTACACTAGTCCAGTGTATCATATCATCCCTACACTAGTCCAGTGTATCATATCATCCCTACACTTGTCCTGTATATCATATCCTCCCTACACTAGTCCAGTGTATCATATCATCCCTACACTAGTCCAGTGTATCATATCATCCCTACACTAGTCCAGTGTATCATATCATCCCTACACTAGTCCAGTGTATCATATCATCCCTACACTTGTCCTGTATATCATATCGTCCCTACACTAGTCCAGTGTATCATATCATTCCTACACTAGTCCAGTGTATTATATCATTCCTACACTAGTCCAGTGTATTATATCATCCCTACACTAGTCCAGTGTATCATATCATCCCTACACTTGTCCTGTATATCATATCGTCCCTACACTAGTCCAGTGTATCATATCATTCCTACACTAGTCCAGTGTATTATATCATTCCTACACTAGTCCAGTGTATTATATCGTCCCTACACTTGTCAAGTATATCATATCATCCCTACACTAGTCCAGTGTATCATATCATCCCTACACTAGTCCAGTGTATCATACCATCCCTACACTAGTCCAGTGTATCATATCGTCCCTACACTAGTCCAGTGTATCATATCATCCCTACACTAGTCCAGTGTATCATATCATTCCTACACTAGTCCAGTGTATCATATCATCCCTACACTAGTCCAGTGTATCATATCATCCCTACACTAGTCCAGTGTATCATATCATCCCTACACTAGTCCAGTATATCATATCGTCCCTACACTAGTCCAGTGAATCATATCATTCCTACACTAGTCCAGTGTATCATATCGTCCCTACACTAGTCCAGTGTATCATATCGTCCCTACACTAGTCCAGTGTATCATATCATCCCTACACTAGTCCAGTGTATCATATCGTCCCTACACTAGTCCAGTGTATCATATCATCCCTACACTAGTCCAGTGTATCATATCATCCCTACACTAGTCCAGTGTATCATATCATCCCTACACTTGTCCAGTACATCATATCATCCCTACACTAGTCCAGTGTATCATATCGTGCCTACACTAGTCATGTGTATCATATCGTGCCTACACTAGTCCAGTGTATCATATCATCCCTACACTAGTCCAGTATATCATATCATCCCTTCAAAAGTCCAGTGTATCATATCTTCCCCACACAAGTCCAGTGTATCATATCTTCCCCACACAAGTCCAGTGTATCATATCATCCCTACACTAGTCCAGTGTATCATATCATCCCTACACTAGTCATCATCGTCAATACACTGGTCATGTATATCATATCGTCAATACACTGGTCATGTATATCATATCGTCAATACACTAGTCATGTATATCAAAGCGCTGATACACAAGTCATGTATATCATATCGTCAATACACTGGTCATGTATATCATATCGTCAATACACTAGTCATGTATAATAAATTTATCATATCGTTAATTCACTGGTCATGTATATCAAATCGTCAATACACTAGTCATGTATATCATATCGTCAATACACTAGTCATGTATATCATATCGTCAATACACTAGTCATGTATAATCATCATATCGTCAATACACTAGTCATATATATCATATCGTCAATACACTAGTCATGTATATCAAAGCGTTGATACAAAAGTCATGTATATCAAAGCGTTAATACACAAGTCATGTATATCAAAGCGTTGATACACAAGTCATGTATATCATATCGTCAATACACTAGTCATGTATATCATAACGTCAATACACTAGTCATGTATAACAAAGCGTTGATACACAAGTCATGTATATCATATCGTCAATACACTGGTCATGTATATCATATCGTCAATACACTAGTCATGTATATCATATCGTCAATACACAAGTCATGTTTATCATATCGTCAATACACTAGTCATGTATATCAAAGCGTTGATACACAAGTCATGTATATCATATCGTCAATACACTGGTCATGTATATCATATCGTCAATACACTAGTCATGTATATCAAAGCGTTAATACACAAGTCATGTATATCATATCGTCAATACACTGGTCATGTATATCATATCGTCAATACACTAGTCATGTATATCAAAGCGTTGATACACAAGTCATGTATATCATATCGTCAATACACTAGTCATGTATATCATAACGTCAATACACTAGTCATGTATAACAAAGCGTTGATACACAAGTCATGTATATCATATCGTCAATACACTGGTCATGTATATCATATCGTCAATACACTAGTCATGTATATCATATCGTCAATACACAAGTCATGTTTATCATATCGTCAATACACTAGTCATGTATATCAAAGCGTTGATACACAAGTCATGTATATCATATCGTCAATACACTGGTCATGTATATCATATCGTCAATACACTAGTCATGTATATCAAAGCGTTAATACACAAGTCATGTATATCATATCGTCAATACACTGGTCATGTATATCATATCGTCAATACACTAGTCATGTATATCAAAGCGTTGATACACAAGTCATGTATATCATATCGTCAATACACTGGTCATGTATATCATATCGTCAATACACTGGTCATGTATATCATATCGTCAATACACTAGTCATGTATATCATATCGTGAATACACATGTAATGTATATCATATCGTCAATACACTAGTCATGTATATCAAAGCGTTGATACACAAGTCATGTATATCATATCGTTAATACACTAGTCATGTATATCATATCGTCAATACACTAGTCATGTATATCAAAGCGTTGATACACAAGTCATGTTTATCATATCGTCAATACACTGGTCATGTATATCATAACGTCAATACACTGGTCATGTATATCATATCGTCAATGCACTGGTAATGTATATCATATCGTCAATACACTGGTAATGTATATCATATAGTCAATACACTGGTCATGTATATCATATCGTGAATACACATGTAATGTATATCATATCGTCAATACACTAGTCATGTATATCATATCGTCCTTACACTAGTCATGCATACCAACGCGTTAATACAGTAGTCATGTATATCATCTCGCTCATACATTACTCCTGTTTATACTATCGTTCATACATTAGTCCTTTATATGGTACATGGTAATGGTACATATATTAGTTTTGTATTTCATGTCGTCCTTACACTAGTCATGTATATAATATCGTGAATATATTAGTCCTGTATATCATATTGTTCATACAATAGTCGTTTGATAGGCATTACTTACAAGTTGACGGATGTCAAAGTAGACACAATGTATGGATTTACAACATTTATAACATAACATGGCGTCACTCTGGCCCACCGATCACATGATTGTCTGGTTTTCTCAAAGGCTGACGTCGTATGGCAGGAGAACTGCTGTGCTGCATCAAACAATAAATACTTGCTTTTTTATGCAAATTGTACGTATGGCAGGTGCTTCCGGTAGTGAAGGACATGCTTACCCTCTTCGCGAACACCCTGTGTCATGACTGATTTTCAGTGATCCAGTCATATAATTTCCACAGCTATTTCCCTTGATGCCAAGTGGAAACTGTTTCGGCCGAAAATCTAGGCTGGTTATTTTCTTGCATTGACAATGTATATTCTATGGCGACATTGAAGTAAACAGAATAGGATGACAATACATGTGTTGTCTGGCTTCAGTGAATGCAACAACAGCCGTCACCACGCCCTCGGCAACGTCGACACAGACGTCAGCATCAGTCCAGACATCCATCGGGCAGCTCGTGATTCTACCATCGTCTGTGGCCACATCTGCAGTCGATACAACACTCACTCGAGTTACTGAAACAACAACTTCAACCACGAAGACATCGTCAACAGGAACATCATTACTAAAAACAGGTACCTTTAATATTCATTGAACATTTGACACAGTTCAGTACAGGATATACGTTACTTTCAATAATTTCTTGTATGTAAGAAAAAATATCGCTTTCAATTAAATATACGATTTTAACAGCATATTACTTTCAGTAGATAGTACATAGAACCTGTCAGGATCGACAGATATGGTATTTAAGGATGTACACGCATATTCTAACTAGTGTATGTTGATATCAAACATATCTTTTCAATTTGTATCAACACGAAAAATATTTGACATCAAAGGGTACGAGGTTGAGTTTCCGTATGCTCTAACACTGAAGGAGGATGACAATGCACTGGGTTGTCGATGTAGATTCCGTTAATTTCGTTTTGACAAGTCTAAATTAACCCGGAACCATATACGTAGGTACAGTTGTTGATCTGTTTGCTTTGTATGGCCCCGTGAAGCGCTGGTGAAGTTGCCCTGTTTACCTGTGGGCAGTAACAACGTAGGTACAGTTGTTTGATCTGTTTGTTTTGTATGGCCCCGTGAAGACCTGGTGAAGTTGCCCTGTTTACAGTAACAGCACAGCAGGCACAATGGCAATGTCTCAGGCTCATGAGTAACATATTTCCTCTTTCAACTAGAAACGTCCTCTCTGCCATCAAGAACATCTTCTGACACATATACACCCACACGTGGTGATTCACCGACGACAGCAGCAGCAACAACGGTCATGACAGCTTCAAGTACAACAAGCACTATAACACAGGTCACATCTGCATCAACAGCTACCATATTATCCCCAGCTACTGCATCTAGATCTTCTTATACATCAACAACTACACCTACACCTACACCTACACCTACACCTACACATACACATACACTTACACCTACACCTACACCTACACCTACATCTATATCTACCTCAACACCTACACCTACACCTACACCTACACCTACACCTATATCTACCTCAACACCTATATCTACATCAACACTTACACCTTCATCTACATCTACATCCACATCCACATCTACATCCACATCCACATCCACATCCACATCCACATCCACAACCACGTCCACATCCACATCCACATCTACATCATCATCGACACCTACACCTACATCTACACCAACATCTGCATCCATAATTACATCTACTCCTACATCTACACCAACATCTACATCCATAACTACATCTACACCTACACCTACACCTACATCTACACCAACATCTACATCCACAACTACATATACACCTACACCTGCACCAACATCAACATCCACAATCACATCGACATCGACATCAACACCTATATCTGCATCTACATTTTACACGACAACTACCTCTACGTTTACACCTGCATCCCAATATCCATCCACATCTACATATGCAGCAACAGCTATCTTTTCATCCCTTTCTACATCAACACCAACATCTACATCTTCTGCGCTGTCTACGCCTACATCTACACCTACATTCGGTCCTACATTTACAGTTGCGTCAACGACCTCTACGCACAATGAAGGTAGGTATCCCTTTATATAAACATACAAAGAATGTAATTCAAAGTTATCACAGATTCTGTCTTCACCGAAAAATATCCGAAGAGTATCGAAGATTACCGACCCAATGTAATGTGTGACTTCTTGGACAGCGTAACGTGTAAACATGGTTGAATGTGGTTTTGGTATTCTTGCAGATATGTCCAGGCTTATTATACCGGCTGTATCAAGTGCAGTGGGCGGGGTTGTCATCCTGGTTGTGGTCGTTGTGTCCGTGATTTGCTACAGGTAAGGAATCTCCCCCTACTATCGCGAATGGCAGTGACGAATTATATTGAAAAATATTAAACTATCTTGGAAAAAATAAGTTGATACACTGCTGGGAGCTCCGCGTAATACTATGTCAGCCTGTGCTGGGAGCTCCGTTTCATGCTACGTCAGCCTGTGCTGGGAGCTCCGTTTCATGCTACGTCAGCCCGTGCTGGGAGATCCGTGTCATACTACGTCAGCCCGTGCTGGGAGATCCGCGTCATACTCTGTCAGCCTGTGCTGGGAGATCCGTGTCATGCTACGTCAGCCTGTGCTGGGAGATCCGTGTCATACTATGTCAGCCTGTGCTGGGAGCTCCGTGTTGTGCTTTCTGTACGATCAGTTTAAAGTTTGGATCGGGAGGTCGGGCTCTGTCCATTGTGTCATTGTGTCATTGCTGATTGTGGGACATTGCACATCTTTCAATACAACCCTTACACGAATCTAGGCATACAGTACATCTTCCAATACAACCCTTACACGAATCTAGCCATACAGTACACCTTTCAATACAACTCTTACACGAATCTAGGCGTACAGTACATCTTCCAATACAACCCTTACACGAATCTAGGCATAGAGTACATCTTCCAATACAACCCTTACACGAATCTAGGCATACAGTACACCTTTCAATACAACCCTTACACGAATCTAGGCATACAGTACACTTTTCAATACAACCCTTACACGAATCTAGGCATACAGTACAACTTTCAATACAACCCTTACACGAATCTAGGCATACAGTACACCTTTCAATACAACCCTTACACGAACCTAGGCATACAGTACAACTTTCAATACAACCCTTACACGAATCTAGGCGTAAAGTACACCTTCCAATACAACCCTTACACGAATCTAGGCATACATTACATCTTGCAATACAACCCTTACACGAATCTAGGCGTACAGTACACCTTCCAATACAACCCTTACACGAATCTAGCCATGCAGTACACCTTCCAATACAACCCTTACACGAATCTAGGCGTACAGTACATCTTCCAATACAACCCTTACACTAATCTAGGCATACAGTACACCTTTCAATACAACCCTTACACGAATCTAGGCATACAGTACAACTTTCAATACAACCCTTACACGAATCTAGGCATACAGTACACCTTTCAATACAACCCTTACACGAACCTAGGCATACAGTACAACTTTCAATACAACCCTTACACGAATCTAGGCGTACAGTACACCTTCCAATACAACCCTTACACGAATCTAGCCATACAGTACACCTTCCAATACAACCCTTACACGAATCTAGGCATACAGTACACCTTCCAATACAACCCTTACACGAATCTAGGCATACAGTACATCTTCCAATACAACCCTTACACGAATCTTAGCATATAGTACACCTTCCAATACAACCCTTACACGAATCTAGGCATACAGTACACCTTTCAATACAACCCTTACACGAATCTAGGCATACAGTACAACTTTCAATACAACCCTTACACGAATCTAGGCCACCCACAATGCCACCACGTCAGTGAACTATTCCTGTGCCGCCATTGTTCTCCTGGCGTCTACACCATACAGGGGGCACTACACACACTTCGTGTGTTTGATATTTAGATGTAATCACCGGACGTGATGATCGAAACGAGACTCGCTGTGTACATGAACATGAATGATTTCAAATGCCTATTTCAGAAGGAGATCAAAGGAGATGTTCCCTGCCGACGCAGATGATATCAGCTACCACAACTTCCGTGTCGGTCGTATGGAGCTACATTCGTTCAGGAAGGATGAAGCCGATTTGGACCTTGATTCCACTTTTATGAACGAGGACGTTGATACCAAACTCAAACTATCTACATTTGGTCGGGGTTGAATAGGTTTTACTGAAACAGTGTCAAACATGATACAGACGGTTTGATGATTTCATTGACGTTGTTAGTGGAAGGGTGAGTGGGGTGTCGCATGCAGCCAGGTAACTGTCTATTAGGGGGTTGCCAAAACGAATACATGTAAAACACTGTCACTCTTAATACGACACGGATGTGTACAGATCCAATACAGGTTCCTCAAGAACATCAGTGATCACTGCTACTTGCACGCACATTCTACAATATTCATCCACAGAGTTCCCATGTTACTGCGGCGTCCTACAATATTCCTCAACCCAGTCTCCATGTTACTGCGGCGTCCTACAATATTCCTCAACCCAGTCTCCATGTTACTGCGGCGTTCTACAATATTCCTCAACCCAGTCTCCATGTTGCCGGTGTGCTGTGCGTGACGGGAGGACGTGTACAGAAGGGTGATTTACAAAAGTCTCATTGTCAGGTGGTTTACTTCCTTGTTGCATTCATTCACTGTGGACTAAGTAGGAGCTAACAACAGGAGTATGGAGGCCTTTGTGAAAGACCCATTGACATATTTCACATATGGCGTTGTGTGTTTATCAGAGAACAGAATGTGAACATTATACTGAATTGAACTTTAACCCTTCGTAGATTGTTTATATTCAGCCTTGCATACACTGGTAACTTATTCATGACACTGGCGTCTCAAACTTTGATAAATCATCACCATACGCCTAGGCTCTGATCACAAATGTCCCACTGCTTAAAGTGGTTTTGTAAAAATGCATTAAATGCGCGAACTATAGTACGTAAAAATGATGTCTTGTACCGCGAACTCTAGTTTATATAAATAATGTCTTGTACTACGAACTATCGTTTAAATAAATAATGTCTTGTTCAACGATCTATAGAATACAAAAATAATGTCTTGAACCGCGAACTATAGAATACACAAATAATGTCTTGAACCACGAACTATAGAATACACACAAAAACGTGTCGTGCCCGGAACTATAGTGTTTACAAATCTAGCACTTTTTTTGTCTGTTGTGTCACGTGGTGTGTAATATTCATTGAAGAAATTATGTCTTAATTTACCAGCAGGAGCACTGAGTGGTCTGACGTTATCGTCCACTTCCAGAACCATACCAGTCATCTGCAGAATCCATTGCAGGATTCCGACTATATGATAAGCATATGTTTATGAATCACTATCAAATAGTCAGAATACCCTGTTCAGCGACAAGGTGAGCGCACCTTGTACACTGGGGGCACACGCCACAAGCACATGCCAAGGCAAGGCATTTCTTCACCTGAACCAATACAAGTTCAAATTGGAAATTGCATCAGACTCTTTAATAGCTTTGAAAGTTGTAAGCCTGACCAAGCCACTTTGACCCTCTTTGAAAGGGCATGTCCAATTGTACCTCAGGAGTTGTGAAATGTGGACATCAAAGGCTGGAACTGCTAGAATATTGCTCGACATAAAGGGAAATGTTGGCCATTGGAAGGTTGAAGTTATCAATCATGTTTCTTTTGCGTGTAGCTCAGGTGGGTAAATTAGGACAAGGAAATTAGCTATTTGACCATTTTTAAACGATATCATATACATTTGTTTTCATTTTTAACAAATTGTCAGAACATTTGAAAACAGAGATGAAACTAAACTGTCGGGCATAAGAAAGTCTTCACCCTTGTATGATGGCGGCTACACATGGAACATACAAGAAAAGGCTATACGATGGCGATGTATTTGATACAGGAATCAAAAGATATTTACATCCCTCATATCAATGAGCATCTCACAACAGGTGACGTGCACATGACGTCACAGTGAACATAGGGGTAGCACAGGACACACTGCTCAGGGAACATAGGGGTAGCACAGGACACACTGCTCAGAGAACATAGGGGTAGCACAGGACACACTGCTCAGAGAACATAGGGGTAGCACAGGACACACTGCTCAGAGAACATAGGGGTAGCACAGGACACACTGCTCAGAGAACATAGGGGTAGCACAGGACACACTGCTCAGGGAACATAGGGGTAGCACAGGACACACTGCTCAGTGAAGCAGGTATCGTCAGTTTGAGTTGGTTCACAAATACCAGACATCCTCACTAACGAATATAACACCTACTAACACGCCCATCGTCGTCTTATCGATATCGTCAGCCGCCTGACGACGTCACTAAACATACGTTGTCACTCGTCCCTCAACTGTTGTCGGTTCTGTGGAGGATGAGGACACACCCTGATTTGACGATCCAGCTGATATCACAAGTGTTCATTTGGATGTAAGTCTGGTGATTGAGCTGGCGACGAACGGCGACGTTGGCATGATGTAAGAGTGTTCTCTGTTGTTGGTGAGAGAATGGTAGCACCACTGTTTGAATAAAGTCATCCCTATAGATCTGGTCGGTGGTTGCAACATATTCCTCCCCAAACTATCACCCACCACAACCATATGGATGCTCTTCCTGAGTGCAGCCTGGTGCCAATCCTTCCCCACTGCGACTATAAAACTGAGCACGATCAGCATTGTGGAATAAGCAGAATCTACTTTGGTCAGTAAAAAGCAATCTCTAACAGTCAAAGCTTTGTACTCACCTTCCCAGTGCCGTCGTCACGTTTGATGTCCATGGGTATTTTCACAGAAACGGTGACGTTGTGCGCAGACAGGAAATCCTGGACGACCCTTGCAGTGTGCGGCCTATCACCCCCACCCTCACCCCCACCCTCACCCCCTTAATCTAAGCCAATATTTTATACATTGCCCAAATGAATCAACATATAACGGGTATCTACCACACTATCCCACAGCCATAACATTTTGAGTTTGTGACGGTAAACAAAGAAATCTAGATCTTTTACATGCATAAATCTGAATTTTTTCAAGTGGATCAAATGTATTGGTGCCCCAAATATCTGCACCGCATAATAAAATAGGCTTAATCTTTACATCAAATATTCTAAAGAATATGTCATAAGACATGCACCCAAGTTTATTTAGTGATCTTAAAATTTCATAATGTGCTAATTTACCTTTTTGGCAGGTGTATTTCACTGTTTTTATCATATTCATATTTGAGTAAAACACAACACCCAAATATTTATAGTGTTTTAATATTTCGACATTTTGGTTATTAAAAGTCCATCGTTCGTGTTTTTTCAAAATTCCATATTTTCTAAATACCACTATTTTTGTTTTGTCTAAATTAACTGTCAATTTCCATTTGTTGCAATACTTATTGGGAGTATTTAATTGGTTTTGTAAACCTGAAATCGTATCTGAAAACAATACAATATCATCTGCAAATAAAAGTATCAACAATTCTATATATTCAGGATAATGTTTTGCACCTCTAATGTTTTCGTTGTCTCAAGTATGAACGAGTTCGTTTATATACAGAGAAAATAATAAAGAGCTTAAAACACACCATTGTTTTAAACCTATGTGAGATTCAAATATATCTGAAAATTTCCCATCAGACTTTACGGTGTTTCTAACCTTTTCATACACAGATTTAATAGCATTAAACATATTTCCTTTCAGACCTATGTGTTCCAAGAGATATAATACATATTTTGTATCTACGGAATCAAACGCTTTAATGTAACTGGTTCCTATGTAAAACCATTTAAGGATTGACTGTATTTGTTTCGGTTCATTGGGGTATGAATCGACAAACCGATGTGCAAACATCTGTATGAATCGACAAACCGAGGTGCAAACATCTGTAGGAATCGACAAACCGATGTGCAAACATCTGTAGGAATCGACAAACCGATGTGCAAACATCTGTAGGAATCGACAAACCGATGTGCAAACATCTGTAGGAATCGACAAACCGATGTGCAAACATCTGTAGGAATCCGCTAAGCGATCTTACAAAAGTTTGCACATCGGTTTTCGATTATTGCCTCAATGAACCGAAAAGAAATACACAGTCAATAATTAAATCCGACAACGTAAACATGTTGTATCTACAATAGTTTAACCAAAAACAGTTGTATATATGAAAGCAGACAAGAATTACGAGATTGATAAACATTCTAGGTGTAGGAATACATACTGTGGCGTGTCATTAATCAGGTGATTGTTTTATTTATTCACATATCTTGACACGCATATGTAGCAAAGCGTGGAGTCATATTGTCAGCTTGCTGACGGGGTTAACCTCTTTGGTCATGTGGACAAGGCGTCCGACCTCGGATCAGAAGGTCCGTGGTTCGAATCCAATCATGGGATTCCCGTCAATCAAGGGAAGAGGCGAGAAGAACTGCAACAGTCAGACGGGAACAAATATGTCCGGGGGAAGGCGGCTGTTTCAAATGACATGATCAGATACTGCCAGTTCCAAACATTAGTTCCCTGAAAACGGGAAGACACAGTTGGAAAAAATGCTTGTTAGAATTGAAACCCGATGACATGAAAGTTGTGGAACCGAGGCGAGCGGGAAGAAAACATGCTAAATGCCCTGTGCGGTAGTGGTGAGGTGGTCGGAGTTGTGCCTAGAGTAACACTGCTACTACTAATGAATGAGTACCCTTTATCAGAGATTTTGCTATTGGCGCTTTTACTTACAGTGGGTGAGATCTGGGACAATAGTCTAGTCGAATGAAGTCTATGTTTATGCGGGAAGGGGCATGTCTTGCATTGTTTGCTTGTGGCTGTACACCCTAATCAGCCCTATCACGAATATGAAAATATGTAGTCTGAGCCCAACATACATAGACTGCCGCACCAGGTGACGAGGATGGATCCCTGTGTGATTAGGACCTACTCTGACGCAGAATTCCACGGGTTTTCTACCCATATTGGAGGTCGGATCTGTGTCTTAGGCGTGATGATGATAACGCTGGTGTTGATGATCATACGATGTTCCTGATGGCGTTATCTATCCATCTAGTGAGTGAGTATGGTTTTACGCCGCTTTTAGCAATTTGCCAGCAATATCACGGCGGGGTACACCAGAAATGGGCTTCAGACATTGTACCAATGTCGAGAATCGAACCCGGGTCTTCGGCGTGACGAGCGAACGCTTGAACCACAAGACTATGCGAAAGCCCCCCGATCGATCTAGAATTAAGTCGCCATGATAATCGCAGGGTAAAAACCCAGCAACATGGCAAGCGCTCGGTCTTCCTCCTACATCCACGTGACCAGGAAAACTCACACCCGGTAGTATGTAATGGATCTGATACGCATCAGTGACGCTGGAACCATACTCGGAATTTCATACACAAAATAACCAGCACTTTTGAATGTATGTTTTGAGGACAGTATCTGGCTGGAGATAGTTGCTGCAGCAGGTGACACTTGACACTCACGTTGTAAGTACATCAACAGGACTATATACTACAGTCTGATCAAGTCAATAGACATGTGCATTTTGGGCATGGGCGTTTAGGTTTAAGTGCATAAAATTTAAATATTGACAATTGTAGTCGACGATTTATAAAATCGCACAGTATGAATATGTAGACAAAAGTGGATATTTTGTGTGACATGTCTCTTCAATTCTCGTTTTTCAGCGCCTGATACCTAACGTGCATCCTACCAAGAGCTGACGCGATGAGCACAGGGTCTCCAAAACTAGGCGTACATCCGACAACGACATCCGGGTCCCTCTCGTAGAGTTGGGTCATCATGGCAACATTCAAAATGTTCCTATTTGTTGCCATAGCTGCCCTGTTCCCGGAATGCAATGCATGTAAGTGACACCTACCTACCTACCTACCTACCTACCTACCTACCTACCTACCTACCTACCTACCTACCTACCTTCCTACCTACCTACCTTCCTACCTACCTACCTACCTACCTACCTACCTACCTACCTACCTACCTACCTACCTACCTTCCTACCTACCTACCTACCTACCTACCTACCTACCTACCTACCTACCTACCTACCTACCTACCTGGTAGCCCATGGCACGTTGAGCGTGATGACGGATTCTCAAGTCTATTTCAATTCAGTTTTGTTAAAATTTTCATTTTTTACAATTAGCTCCATATCGTAAAGGTTCATCATGTGTGATAGAATCAATCATTTTACAGTCACTATCACTTAAATATCCATTGGTATGTATATTTTATTATTAATATAGGCAATTATCACAGTAATTGATACATAGATATATGTATCGATACATGTATAATTGACTATAAATTGACCAAGCTGTATGTTTAGCGTTCATGTTTCTATAGACCTTAAAAGAATAGGCCACGCCCACTAGGGGACTACTGTTTTCTGATTGGTTGATACTAGCGTGGTCGGGGCCCGTGTTGCGTTAGTGCTGATGTCGCTGATTTCGTATCGTTGTCTACAATGTCTTTGGTGTTGATTAAATTAGAATTCTCTGAAATTATTAATATTGACTAATTTGTTGATACACTTCAACATATTTGTTTGCTTATCAGAAGGCTTATACACCGCGTGCTGGGCACCGGCCTTTACTGTTATACGTCCATAAACACGAACACATATGGAAGTCCGTCCTGAACATAATTCTGAAACGATGTTAAACAAAGGGGATGAAGGATTATGTTGACTTTTCCTCTGTGTTACATCGACAACTTCGACCTCTTTATCTGCAGCGGCAACACCACCTACCACTACGCCGATATCTGCACCAACAACGACGCCTACCACTATGCCGACATCTGCATCATCAACGTCAGCTACCACTACGCCGACAACATCTGCATTAACAACGTCACCTACCACGACGCGAACATCTGCATCAACAACGTCACCTACCACTACGCCGACATCTGCACCAACAACGTCACCTACCACTACGCCTACAACATCTGCATCAACAACGTCACCTACCACTACGCCGACATCTGCATCAACAACGTCACCTACCACTACGCCTACAACATCGGACATTGTTCCATCGGCATCAACATCAATAACATGTATGATATTATATGTAAACAGTGTTACTTACGTTAGATCGGTTTCATTGAACTTTGATAAGTAGCTTGGACAACATGGTGTGTGCCCCGGGTGTTCCTGGCCGCAGCAACATGGCCCATGCTGGTGCCCCGGGGTAAATCCCTTCCCCACTGCAGCACAGTGAACCAAAGACAGTACTCCGTCAGAATCAGTGAAACGTTCTCTCTCTTCTGGTGAGGTGTAAATGGGGTTTAACGTCGCGTCCAAGATTATTGCACTTATGTAGCGACGTGCATGCACGTGTGTGTGTGGCTGCTTGTACTAGTCCGGACAGATGCCGATTTATAGTGCTAGCCCACTGAGATACCATGCCGCAGTTTAACATGAATACCACAATCAGACACAGTATACTGACTCCGAGCCGACCAGTACTTGTTTTAGCCCCTTAATGCAGAGCGCCAGACAGGGTAACAACAAGTACCATATTTTAAGTCTTTTGGTATGACGCGACCGGGGATCGAACCTACGACCTTCCGCTCTCCGGGCGGACGCTCAACCACTAGACTACAGAGGCGGTCCTCTTCTTAAGTTATGAGTGAGTGAATATGGTTTTACGCCGCTTTTAGCAATATTCCAGCAATAACACGGCGGGGGACACCAGAAATGGGCTTCACCACTTTACCCATGTCGGGAATCGAGCCCGGGTCTTCGGCGTGACGAGCGAACGCTTTAACCATTAGGCTACCCGACCGCCCCCTTCTGAAGTTAAAATGTACAGTTGTATCGCTGTGTGATCTAGACGTCCATATGGCCCTTTACTTCTGTTTCATCCGCACATCAATTCCAATCAAATCATTCTTCATTCTGGCAGATTCATCAACCACAGAACAGTCTATTTCTTCCTCGACTGCGTCAGCCGTGTCCTCATCAGCTCCGACAACGACATCAGGGCCGTCTGAGTCAGGTACAAACCACAGGCAGACCTGACATCTCGAGGAATGCCTCACACAAACTAAATGTGTCCCCAGTCTGAAATGAATACCCATATGCCACAGCACATTACTATGAATCCGTTAATCACTGTTGCTGTTGTTGTAACGTTCAGGACTATGGGTGGTCCAATGGTATCCGCAGAGTTGCGTCCCTTAGTTGTCCGGATCCGCTAGCCTTGGGTTGAATCTCAGATAGATTCGTCTCGATCAGGATCCGTCCATTTTCCTTCTGTCATTTACTGACTCTATGTTGCAAGCTGTCGAGGCTTGTACAGTGACTGGCGCGGTCTGAAGACATCTGTCATTTACTGAGTCTATGCTGCAAGCTGTCGAGGCTTGTACAGTGACTGGCGTGGTCTGAAGACATCTGTCATGTACTGACTCTATGTTGCAAACTGTCGGGGCTTGAACAGTGACTGGCGTGGTCTGAAGACATCTGTCATTTACTGACTCTATGTTGCAAGCTGTCGAGGCTTGTACAGTGACTGGCGTGGTCTGAAGACATCTGTCATGTACTGACTCTATGTTGCAAGCTGTCGTGGCTTGTACAGTGACTGGCGTGGTCTGAAGACATCTGTCATGTACTGACTCTATGTTGCAAGCTGTCGTGGCTTGTACAGTGACTGGCGTGGTCTGAAGACATCTGTCATGTACTGACTCTATATTGCAAGCTGTCGTGGCTTGTACAGTGACTGGCCATGGCGTGGTCTGAAGACATCTGTCATGTACTGACTCTATGTTGCAAGCTCTCGATGCTTGTACAGTGACTGGCGCGGTCTGAAGACATCTGTCATGTACTGACTCTATGTTGCAAGCTGTCGAGACTTGTACAGTGACTGGCGTGGTCTGAAGACATCTATCATGTACTGACTCTATGTTGCAAGCTGTCGAGGCTTGTACAGTGACTGGCGCGGTCTGAAGACATCTGTCATGTACTGACTCTATATTGCAGGCTGTCGATGCTTGTACAGTGACTGGCATGGTCTAAAGACATCTGTCATGTACTGACTCTATGTTGCTAGCTGTCGTGGCTTGTACAGTGACTGGCGTGGTCTGAAGACATCTGTCATGTACTGACTCTATGTTGCAAGCTGTCGAGACTTGTACAGTGACTGGCGTGGTTTTAAGACATCTGTCATGTACTGACTCTATGTTGCAAGCTGTCGAGACTTGTACAGTGACTGGTGTGGTCTGAAGACATCTGTCATGTACTGACTCTATGTTGCAAGCTGTCGATGCTTGTACAGTGACTGGCGTGGTCTGAAGACATCTGTCATGTACTGACTCTATGTTGCAAGCTGTAGATGCTTGTACAGTGACTGGCGTGGTCTGAAGACATCTGTCATGTACTGACTCTATGTTGCAAGCTGTCGATGCTTGTACAGTGACTGGCGTGGTCTGAAGACATCTGTCATTTACTGACTCTATGTTGCTAGCTGTCGGGGCTTGAACAGTGACTGGCGTGGTTTTAAGACATCTGTCATGTACTGACTCTATGTTGCAAGCTGTCGAGACTTGTACAGTGACTGGCGTGGTCTGAAGACATCTGTCATGTACTGACTCTATAATGCAAGCTGTCGATGCTTGTACAGTGACTGGCGTGGTCTGAAGACATCTGTCATGTACTGACTCTATGTTGCAAGCTGTCGAGGCTTGTACAGTGTCTGGCGTGGTCTGAAGACATCTGTCATTTACTGACTCTATGTTGCAAGCTGTCGTGACTTGTACAGTGACTGGCGTGGTCTGAAGACATCTGTCATTTACTGACTCTATGTTGCAAGCTGTCGTGGCTTGTACAGTGACTGGCGTGGTCTGAAGACATCTGTCATTTACTGACTCTATGTTGCAAGCTGTCGTGGCTTGTACAGTGACTGGCGTGGTCTGAAGACATCTGTCATGTACTGACTCTATGTTGCAAGCTGTCGTTGCTTGTACAGTGACTGGCGTGGACTGAAGACATCTGTCATGTACTGACTCTATGTTGCTAGCTGTCGGGGCTTGTACAGTGACTGGCGTGGTTTTAAGACATCTGTCATGTACTGACTCTATGTTGGAAGCTGTCGTGGCTTGTACAGTGACTGGCGTGGTCTGAAGACATCTGTCATGTACTGACTTTATGTTGCAAGCTGTCGAGGCTTGTACAGTGACTGGCGTGGTCTGAAGACATCTGTCATGTACTGACTCTATGTTGCTGGCTGTCGGGGCTTGTACAGTGACTGGCGTGGTTTTAAGACCCCTGTCATGTACTGACTCTATGTTGGAAGCTGTCGTGGCTTGTACAGTGACTGGCGCGGTCTGAAGACATCTGTCATGTACTGACTCTATGTTGGAAGCTGTCGTGGCTTGTACAGTGACTGGCGTGGTCTGAAGACATCTGTCATTTACTGACTCTATGTTGCAAGCTGTCGTGGCTTGTACAGTGACTGGCGTGGTCTGAAGACATCTGTCATTTACTGACTCTATGTTGCAAGCTGTCGTGGCTTGTACAGTGACTGGCGTGGTCTGAAGACATCTGTCATGTACTGACTCTATGTTGCAAGCTGTCGTGGCTTGTACAGTGACTGGCGTGGTCTGAAGACATCTGTCATGTACTGACTCTATGTTGCAAGCTGTCGAGGCTTGTACAGTGACTGGCGTGGTCTGAAGACATCTATCATGTACTGACTCTATGTTGCAAGCTGTCGAGGCTTGTACAGTGACTGGCGCGGTCTGAAGACATCTGTCATGTACTGACTCTATATTGCAAGCTGTCGATGCTTGTACAGTGACTGGCATGGTCTAAAGACATCTGTCATGTACTGACTCTATGTTGCTAGCTGTCGTGGCTTGTACAGTGACTGGCGTGGTCTGAAGACATCTGTCATTTACTGACTCTATGTTGCAAGCTGTCGTGACTTGTACAGTGACTGGCGTGGTATGAAGACATGTGTCATGTACTGACTCTATGTTGCATGCTGTCGAGACTTGTACAGTGACTGGCGTGGTTTTAAGACATCTGTCATGTACTGACTCTATGTTGCAAGCTGTCGATGCTTGTACAGTGACTGGCGTGGTCTGAAGACATCTGTCATGTACTGACTCTATGTTGCAAGCTGTAGATGCTTGTACAGTGACTGGCGTGGTCTGAAGACATCTGTCATGTACTGACTCTATGTTGCAAGCTGTCGATGCTTGTACAGTGACTGGCGTGGTCTGAAGACATCTGTCATTTACTGACTCTATGTTGCTAGCTGTCGGGGCTTGAACAGTGACTGGCGTGGTTTTAAGACATCTGTCATGTACTGACTCTATGTTGCAAGCTGTCGAGACTTGTACAGTGACTGGCGTGGTCTGAAGACATCTGTCATGTACTGACTCTATGTTGCAAGCTGTCGAGGCTTGTACAGTGTCTGGCGTGGTCTGAAGACATCTGTCATTTACTGACTCTATGTTGCAAGCTGTCGTGACTTGTACAGTGACTGGCGTGGTCTGAAGACATCTGTCATTTACTGACTCTATGTTGCAAGCTGTCGAGGCTTGTACAGTGACTGGCGTGGTCTGAAGACATCTGTCATGTACTGACTCTATGTTGCAAGCTGTCGTTGCTTGTACAGTGACTGGCGTGGTCTGAAGACATCTGTCATGTACTGACTCTATGTTGCTAGCTGTCGGGGCTTGTACAGTGACTGGCGTGGTGTTAAGACATCTGTCATGTACTGACTCTATGTTGGAAGCTGTCGTGGCTTGTACAGTGACTGGCGTGGTCTGAAGACATCTGTCATGTACTGACTCTATGTTGCAAGCTGTCGATGCTTGTACAGTGACTGGCGTGGTTTTAAGACATCTGTCATGTACTGACTCTATGTTGCAAGCTGTCGTGGCTTGTACAGTGACTGGCGTGGTCTGATGACATCTGTCATGTACTGACTCTATGTTGCAAGTTGTCGATGCTTGTACAGTGACTGGCGTGGTCTGAAGACATCTGTCATGTACTGACTCTATGTTGCTAGCTGTCGTGGCTTGTACAGTGACTGGCGTGGTCTGAAGACATCTATTATTTACTGACACTATTCTGCAAGCTGTCGTGGCTTGTACAGTGACTGGCGTGGTCTGAAGACATCTGTCATGTACTGACTCTATGTTGCAAGATGTCGTGACTTGTACAGTGACTTGCGTGGTCTGAAGACATCTGTCATGTACTGACTCTATGTTGCAAGCTGTGGAGACTTGTACAGTGACTGGCGTGGTCTGAAGACATCTGTCATGTACTGACTCTATGTTGCTAGCTGTCGTGGCTTGTACAGTGACTGGCGTGGTCTGAAGACATCTGTCATGTACTGACTCTATGTTGCAAGCTGTCGTGGCTTGTACAGTGACTGGTGTGGTCTGAAGACATCTGTCATGTACTGACTCTATGTTGCAAGCTGTCGAGACTTTTACAGTGACTGGCGTGGTCTGAAGACATCTATCATGTACTGACTCTATGTTGCAAGCTGTCGAGGCTTGTACAGTGACTGGCGTGGTCTGAAGACATCTATCATGTACTGACTCTATGTTGCAAGCTGTCGAGGCTTGTACAGTGACTGGCGCGGTCTGAAGACATCTGTCATGTACTGACTCTATATTGCAAGCTGTCGATGCTTGTACAGTGACTGGCATGGTCTAAAGACATCTGTCATGTACTGACTCTATGTTGCTAGCTGTCGTGGCTTGTACAGTGACTGGCGTGGTCTGAAGACATCTGTCATTTACTGACTCTATGTTGCAAGCTGTCGTGACTTGTACAGTGACTGGCGTGGTATGAAGACATGTGTCATGTACTGACTCTATGTTGCATGCTGTCGAGACTTGTACAGTGACTGGCGTGGTTTTAAGACATCTGTCATGTACTGACTCTATGTTGAAAGCTGTCGAGACTTGTACAGTGACTGGTGTGGTCTGAAGACATCTGTCATGTACTGACTCTATGTTGCAAGCTGTCGATGCTTGTACA